AGGATTTGCATGGATCAGTCAGAAAAGACTGCATGGATTTCTGCTGATGATTTGGCTTCATTTTTTGTCTATGCTCTCTGGCTATATTTCCTGACCTTTTGGTTTTTCCAAGGGGTTCATTTTATTATTACAGTCATGAATTAATCATACTATTGACTTAATTATCTTTTAAAGAAAGATTAAATATCCCTTTAAACTAGGGATGCACTACTGCCCTGTATTGGCTCTATTTCCCTTTTATTCTGTTGATTTGTGTGGTCATTCATTCCCAAGAGCTCCTGTACCTGTCTGGATGAACTGCCTGGACACAATGAAGGATTTCCTCAATGGCGATAGGTTAGAAATGGCAGGGTCAAGATTTAATATTGCTCTTGGCATGGCTTCCCAAAGTCTTTTTGCAAAGGTTGTCCAGATCCGTAAGGAAAAGCAAAAAAGGCCACCGGTCTTATGGGCATGTTGAAGCAGGAGTGTCTGTCTGTCTCTTACAGCTGTTGCTCTTCTTTTCTGAACTTAAAGTCTTTGACAGGAGAGCAGGGCATGCAGGGCATGTATCATTTTATACTACTCTGAGGGTTTCATAACCCTGTCTGACCCTGCTCAAGTGTTTTTATAATGAGCCTTAGACATAGGAACCCACCCTTACCTTCTGTTCTGTCTCCACAACTTTTCCCTAGATTGATCTGTCATTTCCTATTCGGAAAGGTTACAATGTGAAAGAAAATCTGACAAAGACGTTTACATTGTATGTTCAAAACGGCTACTTTTCAGGACATGGTAAACAAGACATTGTTGTCAAAGTTGAATGTGACATTCATATGCCATTAAATTAGAGTTAACCTGGATTTATCAGACATTTTTGAAAAATCTTTTTCATTATGATTTCCTTTTTTTCCCAGTTATGCTCAGATTTAATCATTTTAAAAAATCATCAGCTATCAGAAAAGAAGAAAATCATGAAAATGTATGTCAAAACGAACCCTGAATCGATCTTGAATGTGGAAAGGTGCATGAACAACTCAATTCTTTGTACTTTTACTTTAAATAGACATTGATGTCTCATGCACATATTCACATCAGTCTAGATTGCAGTGTCTCGCTCTGTCATACACACAAACATAGTACACCATTAATCAAACAGATAGGTTCTCTTATATATGTTGGACATCTTTTGATAAAAGTATATAAATAAAGAAATACGATTATAAACAGGAGCTTTTAAGGAGCTTTTGAATTATGACCAAAGGCAATTATTAACATAAAATACTTAATTCATAAACACGCGCTTTTGTAAGAGGATTAGGCTAGCCTTTATAGTGATTGTATATGTATGAAGTTAAACCATTAACTGGCTTTAGAGATGTTAAAACTTGCGTATTACTCACAACTCACAAGCTGGTTTATATGTGAACACAAAAATGGCATTTATAGCTGAGTCTCATTGTGTATTATTTCATGGTACATTCATCCACAGAGCAGCGGTATGACCTTGATTTTGCTTCATCTCAGGTTGAATTATAGTGGCTGCATGGGGATAAAAGTCTAAAGAAAAGAGAAGAAAGCACAGAGATGAAAGGTTGGGCTCAGGTAGGTCAGTGTAATTGTATTTATCATTTCGCTCGTTTTATCCTGTGAACAAAGCTAAGAATAGGAAATAGCTGAAAAGAGAAAAGTTAGAGTAATTTCAACATGACAGGCTAAACAGGTTTTTGAATCATTTTTTAAAGGCCACAGCGATGAACAGAAGAGAATATTGGGTTATGATCTGTATAATGTCATGCTGAGAAGTGCCAGGAATGATTTTTGCTATTTGCTGAAAAGGATTGGGGGGGAGGGGGGGGGGGTGTTCAGCTTTTCCTCCCTATCAATTCTTTTTTTTTTTTTTTGGTTTGTATACACTTTGCTATTGGTGGTATCTGACAAAATTCATGTCAAATGCTTTGAATTGATTTAAAAAAATCTGATTAATGGGGGCCCTTACTTTATGGCCCTCACGTTTCTTCAGGATCAGGGAAGGAGAGAGGCACTGACTGAATGTTAAATTGGTCTGGATGTTGAAAAAGCTGTAGGCAATGAGGGGAAAATGTGTGCCTGATTAAAGCTCTTAACCCCTCATGACTTTGATACAATTATTTATTATTCTTTTAAAGGTGAATCTTGTGAAATTCAGCAAGAATATGTTAAGATCACAATTTATTCCAAAAAAGGAAAGAAAAAAAAGAAAAAAAAGGAAATAAATAAATGCAATCTGTGCATAAAGAAAATTAGCATGATTAAGCATGATTATTATAATTAAGCACAAATTCCCCAAAGCATGCACACATAGACATCAAAGGGGGCTTGAGCACCTGCCTGTTTTCTTCCCTTTTTCTGAGAGTCTTTTATATACAAGTAACTCTCACTCTCTCTCCGCGCAGCACACATCAGCACACCAGACACACAGAAAGTTCGGTTTAACTTGAAATTGTGAAAGAAATAGGCTATATTCCTGTTGTACAGTAGAATCTATTAAAACTTTGTTTTAATTATTGTTTAGCTCTTTGTTTGACAAAAACATTTAATATGATTAAAAGTTAAATTATATTAAATGTAACCTAATAAAATTTAAATACACACACAGAATATCTGAAAAACTTAAATTATGTCAATTAATTTATTGAAATTAATTTAACCCTTTCACACGTAAGTTTAAAATATTCTAACTGACCCCCCTGGGTGAGTTTTTCAAGGCGGCCCTTATTTCGAACTTGCCACTTTAATGTTTCCATGGTGACGCGTCATTGCTTGTCACATGACACAGCGCTGAATGAATGATGATCTGCTTTTATGTCATTTTTCCTTTTTATTAAAATACATTGTGTGATTTTTACCCCCATCTAGCAGTGAAAAGGTATATAACCATCCAGTGAATATTATTTTCTGTTCCTCTCAATTCCAATTTCGTTTTAACTCCTACGGTGGCCAAAAATTCTTTCTATTGGTAAAAAAAAAAAAATTCAACTGGTCGACCAATAAGAATGTCAGTCGACCAAGACGGCATCGACCGATTAGTCGACTATACGACTAAAGTTGACAGCCCTAAACAAGACAATACGTTGAATGACGCTATGAGGTGTTCCCCATAGCGTCATTCGACGTATTGTTGAGTTCCCTTCGAAAGGGAACCATAGACAGTAAAAGAAATGGACAGAGTGACCCCATTGATTTCAGGCTCAATCTGAGACAGTCTGACTGTTGAAAATCTTGTAGCTGTGCCAAGACAAATCTGAATCACCTAAATAAATCATTGTATATAAGTTAAAAAATCTATATTATAACAACAAATTAAAAAATATCTGACGCATTATGGTAATGCGTTGGGGGGAATGTTCTTTTTATTCATCATGAAAATAATATCATGATGCACAAAAATCTGAAATCTTATTGATCCTCAAATAGACTTGGCTATTTTATGCAAAATACATCTATTAATCATGGGGTAAAATGTGACCTTGCATGTGTTTGTAAGATTCTTCTTTCCACTTTGATTATTCTACCTGGGAAATCACTTTCTGAAAATGATGCCTCAATTGACAAGTATGCATCTGGACTCTATGCTAATAAGATGACTCAGTCAGCTGTTTCTACATGCATACAGTAATCTGTAAATGATGACTGTTTAACATAAGAAAGCGAGTAAATGGATTGTTCGTTTTAACAGAGCAGACCGTGCATGAGATGAATGTGAGAGGGCAGAGACTAGAAGAGAGTGCATTGTTTTAGAGAGCGATGTGTTCTCTGCTGTCACAGTGTTATCAAAGACTTCACGCTCCCTGGAGGTGCTTTTGAAGTTGATGTGATTCAGCCTTTCTCTTTTCTTTTCGCTCAGTAGCTTTGTCATTCTTGATTCTTGTTTCCTCTCTCATTTACTCTCCGGTTCTCAACGTGTCATTCACATGAGTTTACCCCTATATTCAATTTAAGTGCCACCACATAGGCTTAGAGGGGCAAAGGCAGGAAACGGTGCATCGAAAGTGGCGTGTGTACTGCGAAATAGTCAACATAAATCGACTTACATAAACGCATAAAATGATTCTCATGTACAGCTCACAAAAAATAAAATGTGTGAAAAATAGTTGAAAAATCTGTTTTGACATAGCGTAGTGTCAGTGTACTACTGTTCAAATGTTTGGGTTTTGTCTTTGAAAGTAGTACCAAGGCTGCATGTATTTGATCAGAAATACAGTAAAAGCTGTTTTCTCTTTTAATATGTTTTAAAATAAAATCTATTCCAGTGAAAACAAATCTGAATTTTCAGCATCATTACAGTCTTCTGTGTCTCATGATCCTTCAGAAATCAATATGCTGATTTGCTGCTTAATTAAGACTTTTTCTTCCAGGATTCTTTGATGAATAGAAGGTATATAGAAGAAAATAGCAATTTATTTGAATTATAAATCTTTTGTAACATTATAAATGTCTTCTTTACTGTTACTTTTGATCAAATTATGCACCCTTGTTGAATAATTGTTGCTGCACCCTTGTTGTTGACCCCAAACCTCAAATGAATGTTCAAGATGATAATCATAACGGTTTAGTCATATCTACACAATAAACATTTAAAATAATACATCTATTTTTGAGAAATGTATTTGTTTAATTGGTAACGCTTCCTTTTACAGTACAGTACTTACGTGTACTTACTTACCTTGAAAGTACTGGCTAATATGAGGTAAGTACATGGGTTAGGGGTAGGTTCAGGGTTAGTACCTAGTAGTTACCCAGTAATTATAATAACTTCAATAAGTACATTGTAAGTACAAGGGTAATAGGACTGTAAAAGGAGGTGTTACCGTTTAATTCATGTACAAGCTAATTTCTAATCCGATCCCAGTCTAATTGTGAAAGGTTTCTATTATTTTTATGTTTGATTCACATAAAATTGATCTGGCAACAGTATCAAATTGTGCTGGCAAAAACAAGATTATTAACAAGCCCTTTTTCTCTTTCTCTCTTTCGCTCAGGCAACGTGTTTGTTGTCAGTCTGGCCTTCGCTGACCTGGTGGTGGCTTTCTATCCGTACCCGCTGGTGTTGTACGCGATCTTCCACGACGGCTGGGCTCTGGGGGACACCCAGTGTAAAGTCAGCGGCTTCCTAATGGGCCTGAGCGTGATCGGCTCCGTTTTCAACATCACCGGCATCGCCATCAACCGGTACTGCTACATCTGTCACAGTTTTGCCTACGGGCGTTTCTACAGCTACCGGAACACGCTGCTGTTAGTGGCCCTGATCTGGGCGCTCACTGTGCTGGCCATTCTTCCCAACTTCTTCGTGGGGTCGCTGAGTTACGACCCTCGTGTTTACTCCTGCACCTTCACGCAGACCGCCAGTAGCTCCTACACTGTGGTCGTGGTGGTGGTTCACTTCCTGGTGCCCATCGGCGTGGTGACCTTCTGCTACCTGAGGATTTGGGTCCTGGTGATTCAGGTGAGGCGGAAGGTGAAGAGCGAGGAACGCTCCAGGGTGAGACCCAGCGACCTGCGCAACTTCGTCACCATGTTCGTGGTGTTCGTTTTGTTCGCGATCTGCTGGGCTCCGCTCAATCTCATCGGACTGGTGGTGGCCATCGACCCAGAGGTCATGGCTCCACGTGTTCCAGAGTGGCTCTTTGTGGTCAGCTACTTTATGGCCTATTTCAACAGTTGCCTCAACGCCATCATTTACGGACTCCTCAATCGGAACTTCCGAAAGGAGTATATGCGGATCATGACGGCGATGTGGATTCCTCGGAGGTTCGCGACTGAGACCTCCAGGGCCGCCACAGATGGGATAAGGAGCAAACCCTCGCCGGCAATCAATAACAACGAGTGACTTTTGTTTTCAGCCAATCACTGTTCAAAAAAAACCAAAAACATCATGGATGCATGAAGCAAATTTATACACTTGGAACTGTGAACACTTGACTTTATTTGACGCTAAAACCATTATACACAACTCAGGGTGCTTGTTTTATTTTTGCTGTTGTGATCCATTCCAACACACTACTATGAAGAAATATTTAACTCACAATTTATATTAAATATATTCAATGAAGTACCTTTTATTTTGTGTATATATGGACTATTTACTGGAGATATTTTGTACAATTTTGTGGGTCTGTTGTATATATGTTGTATAAATCAGTATGCTTCACATATTTATCAATTCAAAAATTCTGCCTTACTCTTGAACTTTCACATGAAATACAGAAAAAAAAAAAATGATTCAAGGTGCCAAACGTTAATACATTGCCGGCAAGTATCTGATATACCAAATCCGTTTGTCTTATCGAACCAGATGAGATTCTGAGAGCATCATAATTTAAATGTAACACCAACAGCTCTTTAATGAGCGAAGAGCTTCCAGCACAGCAAGATAAAGCACAAACTTCAAAAAAAGCACCTCATGCGGATTCAGCCAAGAGAAATTGAGCTTTTTCAAAGAGAACGATGACAGCGTGCGGTCAGTCCGTCTTCACTTTCAATTTGTGTTCACCTCTTATCTTTCGAACATTAAATGTCATTCATGACTTTGGGGTTATTACTTTGCCAGGAAATGTGCATGACTCTGAACCCATATATTTTCTTCAACAAATGATCTGGGAGCAAAACGTTACCGGAATTTGTATTAAAAGACGGGTAAAAAGGGAAAGTATTAACAAGACTTTGTTTGAATGTATTATCGTTTTTTCTCTGTGCTTGTTTTTTTTACTTGATTTTACAATGTGCGTTTTAATCCTCCCCATATTACGAGACGTTCCATCCAGTGGGATTGTGCTGTGTGAGAACATGCTCAACCATTGACCTGAATAAAAGAAAGCAACCAAACTGATGACAGCCAAGTCTATCTGTGATTGTGCAACCTCTCTCTGGTATGAATGGGCTATGAAGGGATTATATGGAGAGATTGGGATGAGCTTGCTCCTTATGGCCACATCTGCACAGGGAATTATGGGGGATGTGTGGCTGGCATCCCGGCAGATGGAGGACTGAAATGGTTGATAACATAAACACTTGGCCAAGTTGAGAGCGATCTTGTCATCAATTTGCTGAATGCATTATCCGGAGGGGTTTCAGGGAGAGAGTCAGTTTGAAAACCGTAGAAGAGATTCAATGCGAGTAGACAAGCCTTTAGAATATAGAATTAGTGAAGAAAGCGAATGTCATTGACAATTTCAGGATATTTTGCAAGCAACTCATAATTTAAAGTAGTTAACTCACAGTAAAGCTACTCTTTTGGAAAGTAAGTTACCTACACAGGTTCAGTGGGGTTCTATAGAAGGGCTCAATTTAAAGATACAATATGTAATTTTTTTTCGCTGCTAGGGATTGCTAACCTCTTACAATAACAAAGGCATAGGTTGATGACATCAAATTTATGGATCTAATAATGCTTATGAATAACTTTGATGTTTTTATCATGACTGTGGTATGAAGCAGGGTTCGATTGCTAATGAGAGACAGATATTAGCGTCAGACGTGAGTCCCGCGGATATATAGGAACAAGGACGTTTTATTCTACCAAACTACCAGCAAGTGCTAAATTACTCACACAGGTTAATGTATTGGACGAACGAAGCTTGTGAGGTAACGCAGCGCTGTTTCACTTGGTCTGCACGATCACACTAAACTGCATTTGAGTGTGTTGAAAGTTATAATGTTATTCTATGTGTTAGTTTGTTGGCTGTATGAGACTTGGCAAATCACATCTAAAAAATGAGTCCATGGCCACAAAAACAGGGAGCAAAGTAGTCTTCAATTGTGATGTTGTATTCTAAAATAAAAATATTATTTTATTTCGGTCCAACGCAACCTGACGCAGAACCCTGACGTGCACCTCTCCAAAAATGTAACGACGTGTCAATTCTACGCGTGCGGCAACCGCTGTGATTGGTCTGCCAGAACCGCTCCCTGGCTTTCACATGCTCCCTCTGTATGTGTAATTGCGCATCAATGCGGACAAAGACACAGAAGTATAAATGAAAACAAACGTCTATTCTATAGCATAGAGGCTTCGGCGTAGATCCGACACAGAAGTTTAAAGGCTTGTTTGAGATGAGCAAAATCTGCACAAAACCGATCACCGGTGATCAGCACGAGATGCATGCCGGTTAGAAACGTGTACGGTTGCAGTCCGCTGAAGTGTGTCAAAAAATGCGCACGTGTCGGATTCTGCAGTCGCGCTCACCACCGCTGTAACGACTTGCTGACGACACAGCTTAATGCTCATTGGTTTAAACAACCGTGATGTATTGTTCTCCTTTATAATGTATGATTTTAAAACTCTGATATCATGTTTTGTGTGTATAAATTATGTGTGGATATTCCCAAACTCTCTGACAGTGCGATCTATGTGATGTATTTTTTTTTTACATGAAAAAAAAACATAAAAACGTCTTTAAAGAAACTTTAAAGAAAAAAATATTGATTAACACGCAGGCCTATTTAAAATGGAATTAAATAAGTAATTTGGGTGTCTTGTTCATTATATTTATTTTCATATACTGTACAAGCAACAAAACTTAAATTACATCCAGTTTATTAGCAACACCGAGGACGGGCGTGAATCTCGTGTGAATATCCGCCTTTGGTCTTACAGGTGTATGATCCACTGCAAGAAGAGAGATCTGTCTGGCTTGCCTGCGCTTTTTTCACTCCTCCCCTCACTGCAGCCGCCTACTCTCGACTACATTTCAGGCGAGGCAAGGCGCATCTCAAACAAGCCTTAAATCAGCCTGAGTGACGGCATAGCTACGCCATGGAGTTGACGCAGACACAATCATACACAAAACATCATTTCAAAACATTTATGCAACACACTTAAAGGCCCAAGAGACTGGTAAACATTTTGAACATGCACACATATGCTTGCTTAAAGAAACACTTTGCATATAAATGCAAACTAATAAAATGCATGGGTTTGTGGGAGAGCAATCACCGATCGGATGAGTTATTGCCATCTGTCTGAGCTCAATCATATTGTATCTCTGAGAAAAGCCCTCAGCCCTTGGTTTTGCCCTCTGAATGCTCTCTGCATGCTGTAAATTAAAAAAAAATCTAATATTAAAAAAAGATGATTTATGGAGGGGGTTAAATACACATATCATTTTTTTTGTATGCAACATGTTTACAATGTATTGTGTTACTTTTATAGCACACATTAAAATTACCATTAGGCTACTGTATTGTTTAATTAAAGCATTGTTGAATGAAAAATTGTAAAGTATAAAAATTGTAAAGCCATAGTTAAATTTATTTGACACAAATACAAATATTTTCCTTCCTCATTTATCCATCAATACCATTTTCACTACCCCTTTAGTTTGAGTTTTTACAAAGCCAGAAAACTCTATGCACCTGTCAAATGCCTTTAGAGATTCATGTCTGCATGCTTGTTCGTCAAAACCATGCAGCCACAACAGTTCATGGATGAACTGAGACTTAAAGTCAGCCTGAGACGAGACCTTTACCAGCCCATCAAAACCGTCACACAGATAATCCACTGCCATCACACACATCAAATACAAATATCTTTCTCCTGCTTAAAATGATCTAGACAGCCTAATCTTTGCATATAGCTGTAAACGCAGTATTGTGTGTAGTCTACAGGCCATTTAGTATGAATAGCTGTAAGTATTAAATAAGAAAACTTGTTTAGTCACGGATGATCTGCGAATGATTTGCATTTTGGTATTTGTTAGTTTAGTTATTATTACAGTAATAGATGATTTAGCTCGTATCTAGTGTAATGAAAATATTCCCAACATCAGTCGGTTTCTGACGTCAACCCGAGTTTTATTTCCAACCAAAATCCAACCCCTTGTAACCAAAATCATTCCCTGCCTATCGTTACTACTTTCTACTCAAGGACCTTGACAGAACTGTCGTGGAGTAAAAAGTACGATATTTGTCTTTCAAATTCAGTGAAGTTAAAGTAAAAGGTTTCCAGACAAAATAATACTCAAGTACAGATACTCAAAAAGTGTACTTTAGTACAGTACTCAAGTAATTGTACTTTGTTACTGTCCACATCTGTTTTTAATTCACAAATAGAGTGATTAGTGTTCTCTTCTGTGATGTATCCATTTCAGAGAGTGTATATAGGCCTACAATTTGTTTTGGTGTACAGTAGAAGAAATTCTATATATCTTTTAGAGCCCAACCGATAAATGATTTTGAAGGCCGATACGGATACAAATATTTGTTAGTTTTAAAATCCGATATTCCGATATATCGGCCGATATTTATTTATTTATTTATTTCAGAAACGTGCAAAAAAACTAGCAGATTTTCCAAACGTTAGTTATTTGTAGTTATTTATGAGTTTTAACTAAAATAATATGATAATGCATTTTAAAAAGAAACTTGTTTCTTTTATCGTCACAACAGAACAGACTGATGATAGTGGCATTAGCTAGCTTTGTGGTTAGCTAGTCTATGATGAGCCATAATTTAGCAATGGATAACGTCATACTACAAATTGTAAAACATACATTTTCAATATAACAGGCCAAGGAGAGATGATACGTCTCATTGCTATAACTGTCATGTGCTAATAAAGAAATACTTCAGTCAACATTGTCAAAAGTTAAAAGGACAGTCAGTCAACTACAACGTAACGTAACTATTACTAGCTGATTCCGCTTCACTCTCGGCTTATTTAACAGCAGCAAAACTGGACATGATAGTCACAAATTTTGTCATGCTTATTTGAGTCAAGAGAACTGATGGGGATGTTCTTTTAATTGTTATTCAATCAATGTATGTCTCGTGACCAACTCGACGAACGTTGCCAACAGGGAAGGTGTAGAGTGCCCTCTGGTGGACAAACTATACAACTCCAACACTCATGACATGGTTCAAGCGCGTTTCGTCTGTTTTTATTTTATTTTTGAAATATTAATTTATCGGCCATTATAACTGCCGATACCGATAGTTTGGAAAATGCCTAATATCGGCAGATAATATCAGCCTGCCGATATATCGATCTAGCTCTAATATCTTTCAGTTTGCTCAATACAAACTGACACACAAGTTAGATTCAAACTAAGAAAGTTGTATCTATCTATCTATCTATCTATCTATCTATCTATCTATCTGTCTGTCTGTCTGTCTGTCTGTCTGTCTGTCTGTCTGTCTGTCTGTCTGTCTGTCTGTCTGTCTGTCTGTATGTATGTATGTACATATTATCTAGCACACGTCTTTGCATATCATCAGGAGCAAGGCTGAACAAAGGAGCCAGTCATTAACAGTCACCATTACATTTGTGTGCATGACATTAAACCCCAGGTCGCTACAGAAAGACTGTTCATGTAATGAGTGTCACTTCGGATTAAAACATCTAGTAAACAACTGCTTACAAAATGTTTGTTTTTTTATGCTGCCTCAGGGCGATTATGCAGTACAGGGTTAAACAAACACAAACAGACACACTCTGTCCCACACAGCACAGGAGGGAGTGTCATAAATGACAGGGACGCATCATGACATCCGTTAGCTCTTTTCCTCAAACTTTAGATGTCACATTTTATGACCTCTTTCCAAAATCACAAAGGACGTTATTGGGCTTGCGAAAATGTGATATCAAATCGCCAACCCGCAGACAGGAAAATCTCTTTGGCCACAGACAGGCACTGATGTAAAACGGCTTCTCATGAAATGTCATATGCATGCATGAATAAGCAAAACACTCCAGTGTATACACACACACATACACACACACACAAACTGCCCTGGGTTTCAGCACCGTCGCCGTCAAATGTTGATCTGAATCTTGCACGACATGATAAAAGCTTCCTCCTCAGCTTCTACACCAATTCATTTCTTTCCGAGAAG